TAAACATGCATTAATTTAAGGGTGCATGTTTTAGGACTACTTTAACGTGAAGAGTTCATGTGTAGTTAGAATTGTTTTGAATTTTTAAAAATTATTTTTTAATGTGCAGTAGGGATAGATAATGATAAATTTTCAAATTTGTGATTTAATTTATGGGTGTGTTTGGTATGAATCCAATTTTCTCATATTTGGTTGGGTTAAACATTTTGAAAAATATTTTTTAAATCAACTCATTTTCCTCAAATTTAAGGAAAATGACTTCCCTTCAAATATTAAGAAAAATATTTTCCAAAACTCTCTTCCTTGGAGGGTGCATGTTTTTAGGATTACTTTAGAGATTGTAGAAGTTTTCTTACCTTTTTTTTTTTTTTTTTTTTTTTATATTGTGCAGAAATGTAAGTGTACTGAATAAGTTTTAGGGAAAATGCATAAGTACCCCCAACCTATACCCAAAATCTCTGAGACACACCTAACCTTTACTAAGGTCCTATTACCCCCTCGAACTTATTTTATATATAATTTTCTACCCCTTTTCTGTCTACGTGGCACTATCCTTGAAAAAATTGTCAACATGCGTTGGGCCAGGGCCGGCTCTTGCCTATAAAATTTTAGGCATTGGCCTTCCTCAAATTTTTATAAATAAAAAATTATGTATCTTAACCCCATTCAAATAGAAGAAATTAAGGAAACATTGTTTTGGATTCTTACATTTTCTTCGTTAACACTTACATTATTTATCCTTTGTAGCTCTTTTTGCACTCTATTTCTTCAAATCTTTGATAGTTAGAGTAATACACTCTCAAAAATATGAATCAATAGTCGAAAAGTGTTGAACAAAGTGCATTACAAATTATTTTTAAAAAATTTATTTGTTAATTTTCATATTAAAGTAGGTATACCAAGCTATCAACTTTTTGAATCAAATTCTATGATTCTAACTCTTATATTTAAAGTTTATCAACTTATTACTTATAAAATTGTGTTAATAATTGATATAATAATTGTCTCAATAAAAGGATGTTTTTCAATGTTGAATTGATAAAATCTTACTTAAAACTAATAATTAAAAAAAAAGTGTTTGAAAAATCATTTATATAAAAGATATTAAGTAGTAATTTACGTCTAAAATTTTAAAAAATAAATAGATATAGATAAAATTTATATAGATTTTAGGCCTCTAATAAAAATTTCGCTTTATGCCACAAATTATGTTGAGCCGCCCCTGCGCTGGGCCCACAAGATAGTGCCACGTAGGCCGAAAAGGGGTAGAAAACTATATATAAAATAAGTTCGGGAGGGTAATAGGACCTTAGAAAAGGTTAGGTGTGTCTCATAAATTTTGGGCATAGGTTGAGGGGTACTTGTGCATTTTTTCAAGGATAGTGTCACGTAGGCCGAAAAGGGGTAGAAAACTATATATAAAATAAGTTCGGGAGGGTAATAGGACCTTAGAAAAGGTTAGGTGTGTCTCATAAATTTTGGGCATAGGCAGAGGGGTACTTGTGCATTTTCCCTAAGTTTTAAAATATAATCATGAAAAGTTATATAATGCACATTTTTTCCATCCAAGTTAAGAGAGAGACAAATTATTATAGTATAACTAAAGAGTAAATTACACCTTCTTCTTTTTTTTCTAATTACAATAATCCTTCAAAATTTGTACCTTCTGGATACATAAGTCACCATCTGGATACATTAATTCTAATACAAGAAAAAAAATTCTGTTGCGCTAAAAAGGGAATAAAATCTGAAAAATAATTAAATCCCATAAATTATGCTTGTGTTTCTTCTTACTCTCAAGTCTCAATCATACAAAGATAAATCCTATATATAGAACGAACAAAGAAATTCAAAATTTCAAATTGCTCCCCCGTTCAACTAAGAAATCTTTCAGATTTGATTCAAAATCTTTTGTCGAACTTTTGAGTAAGCGAGGTGAGTCATGAAGGATACAAAAGTGATGGAATTGTTGTTGGACAAACGATAGTTATGAAGGATACAAAAGTGATGGAATTGTAATTGGATAAACGATTTCCTTTTGAATCTTCAAGTCAGTGGCAGAGCTAGAAATTTTATTAAGGGTGTCCAAGAATAATGGTGTCCCGGAATCTGAGCAATTTTCCAGCTATTCACATTCATTAACAACTTTTCAGGCATTTGTTCCCGTGAAAGATACTTAAGCTTGCTCAAGTGCTCAATCCCAGAGGGCAACTCCTCCATTAATCTCTGCAATCGCGCAATTGATATTTTTTTTACGTTTATTATTTAGATTATTAATGTTTGATTGTGTGTTTCGAAGGAAAATGATAAATCAGATTTCGGATCAATCTATATTATAATATTATATTCATTAAAATAATATAATATAATACAAATTAATATGATTCAATACATTATGAAGTAGTTTTTCGATAGGGAAAGAGACAAAGGAGGGGGAGTTGGCTATAATTGAGACAATTCTGATGGAGGATATGGATTTTTTCGAGATAGTTAACCACTTTTTTCACCCTGAGAGGATGAATGTAATTCAATTCGAACGAAATGAGAGGTACAACAAACGAGTTGATAGTCCTCGTCGAGGTAGGAGTTAGAGCCTACAACTTGAAAAGCGTAATGTACTTTGATATATATTACTCAAATTTCTTGATAATTATGAGCGCAATGTACTTTGATATATATTACTCAAATTTCTTGATAATTGCAACATGATGATTGTTTCTCCCTTTCAATTTGTTTGTTTTAAAGACATTTTAGTAAACATATGTTTAATTTAAGATCATAAGATTTGAAAATCACTCAACATAAAAAAATGATTCAAACATTCCAATTATTTAATAGCCCTTTTTTGAAGGTACCATTTAATTGAAATTTGGACTAGGTTGAAGAATTGTACTCCAGTTAATTAGATAAAGTCTTCGTGTATTTTGCTGACATTAGTCTCTTTTGTTAGTTGCCATAACAATACTCTCGATGTAATTTTATAAGTAGAATCTGAAAAGAATAGGATATACACAAATCTTATCCGCGAACACAAGTTTCAGAAGCTGTCTTGCTTCAGTCAGACATATCAATTTCATCTATTTCCTTACAGAAAGGAAATCAAGCTGGACAAGCTAATAATACAATGAAATTGGTAATATAACATCTTCAATGCATATGAAATTTTGCATTTTGTTTTCAGGTAAGTTCGATATTACAGGTAACGTTCGATAACTTTCCTCCTCAAGTAAAGAACAACCTAACTAACGAGTCAACCTATTGATCCACCGAGAAACAGGAGTGCCATACAATGGCTTGCATTGACATGCTTGAAGTACCTGAATATGGTGCTCTCGGTGAGTGTTGATCTATTCCAATGAAGTAAACTTTGAAGTGATTCTGAAATATAACAAGGACATCAAAAGATCTTAGCAAGCTCCAATTCCCTGACCAAAAATGATGAAGAACGAGGGAGATAAGACTGACAACAGACATGTTTACGAGCAAAAAGAGAAACGAACAACTTGAGAAGAAAAGACACTATGTATGAATAACAGTACACTAACAGTGAATGCAAAATGAAGTATGTTAAGCTCATGTATTTGCAAAGAGGATGAGGGGCAAACTCTGGATAGAGTGTTTAGATAAGATACCAACACTAAGCATGCTGCTGCAGAATTGGAGCTGTTAGATTAAAGTAACGCCTGGTTATAAATGCAAGAGAGTAACTACATTCTGCAAAATTTGTTTCTCGTAAGATTGGTGTCACGAGGCACACTCTTATGCAGAAAGAGCAAGCAGACTAAAACAAACTTATTTCTTGGTTAGTTCCCACTTACTTGTCTTGTTGGGTGACAATGTAAGTTGATTCAAATACATAACTTTAGAGCACAATTCCACTGCTTATAGTTATATTATAGCATTACCAAGCTGCAGAAAAAGCAACTATTCTTCAAAGTTAAACGAACGTTGGTTTCAAATGGATATAGAGGATTCATATAGCCAAACACGCCTACTTAGGGATTGAGGCGCAATTGTTACTGTAGTTGATGGTGGTTCCTTTTCTATCTTTATATAGACCTATCTCTCACTATCTAACAAAGAAAGGCTGAGGGCGGACATCGGAACGTCAGGGGCATGCTAATACTGGCGAGGTTAGGAACCCCACTATGACACAACAGCCAAAAAAGAGGCCACCTTGATAGACTATTTCACTTTTAAGAGGAAAACACTCTCTTAAAATGAAGCATTAACGGGATAAACTTTATATAAAGACATTCCAGTGTCAACAACGGTTTCCAAGAGAAGTACATAAGAAATAATGGAGTATTCATATACACCGCCATACCGAATGGACTTGGAAATTCTCAAACGTTTCAGTTCCGATCAAGTCTCTAGAGAAGAACACTGGATGTATTCAATAAGACATATCAAAGGAAGTCTGCACTATAGCAAAAAGAAGAATTCTTGCAATTCAGTTTCAGGAGAGTTCAAAGTGTGAAGACCTCCGAAGTAAATGCAGTTATAAACTTACAAATAGATCCAACGAATCATGGTTACAATTTTGATTGCAAAAAGAAAAGAGATTTAAATCTAACTTGGCTTGTAATCTCCTTTTTCCGAAACCACATATGAGTACTTCTATAATGCTACCACAATTTAGTTAAACCTACATATAGCATAATTCCATCTAGTTGGAGCAGGACTCTCAGCAGTTGGGATAAGGAAAACAACAACGAAAGAACTACATTGTTCATAAAAATTGGAACTTTTACCAAGAATAACATTGTGCCAACTTAAAGCTATATAAGTTCTATATTTCTTCTACACAAACTACTATCTAGTTCCACAATCGATATCACACATCATATTGATATTCACCAATGAAATCGAATAACATTCAACAATTACCAAAACACTAGACAGGAGGGAATGAGTTTTTTTAAAATACCTTCATTTAACACCATTGAAAATCATTCCTCAACTTCAGAAACAAGCTTAAAAGCTCGAATTTTTCCTCATCTAATTCCGCGAAAAAAGAAAAAAATGTCAATCCTCCTCATCACTCTCATCACTAAAATAACCTTTTCTCTTCTCCGTCCTTGCTTCCTTCTTGAATTCGTCATTATCTCCTTTCAATAACCTCTCCTCTGCTCCTCTATCCACTACAGAAGCCCAATTATCGTCATCAAAACGCGCTCCCCCTTCATCATCCGCCTCCTCCTCTTCCTCGTCATCCTCCCATTCCCCAACCCTACCCTCATCACCCGCCTTTCCTCCTCCTCCACCACCACCACCCCTCCGCCCTTTCTTCGGTGGCTCAGGCCTCTCCCTAGGTCCAAGCAAATTCTTCGGACACTCGTACGATAAATGCCCTTCTTCCCCACATTCATAACACCTACTCTTATCCTTATAAACCTTCTTCCTTATAAACTCAGCAGCACGGCCATTATCAGAAGCAATTGACGCAGTTAGGGTTCGTCCATTCAGGACTTTTTTGTCAATTCCTTTCACAGCTTTAATTGCATCTTCTCTAGAAACAAAAAGGATGAACGCTACCCCACGGCTCTTTCGAGTGACCCGATCTTTAACTACAGTTACCTTTGCAACCTTGCCGAAAGTGGAGAAGATTGTATGGAGGTCGGAATTTGTCAGGGTATAATCGAGATTACTCACGTAAACTGTTGACTTTGATGGAGCTAGTCCACCGCTCCCGCTGCTTCCGCCGCCGCCGCCGCCGTGAGAGGATTTTGAAGTGGAAACGTTTTTGGATGTGGCGGAAGACGACGGCGCCGGTGATGGTGCGGAGGAGTATCGGTAGTAAAAGGTGTCGTCTTCGTCGTCATCTTCGCTGTACTTTCTCTTCCTCGACATTTTACAATATTTTTTTTCCACTGAGGAGCTTCAGTTAATCCATAATAAAAGGGGTGGACGAATCCATGACTAATAAGTACTCTTTCATTTAATTAGAGGTCTCGGATTCGAATCCCTATATACGAAAGTTTTCTTTTTTCACTAAGAGGTCTTGGTTCGAGTCTTCCTAGGCATGAAATCACAGATCTCAAATTCAAATCTCTATATACAAAGTCTTCTTCATCCACTAAAAGATCCTAAATTCGAGTACCTTTGTTAGGTGTATTTAGTCGAACTTACATGTTAATATCGCTCTACCCCAAGCGAATCCAAATACATGCTACCAAACACCAAGTAGGAAAAAATGGGTGGGATTAGCCTTCCAAATTAAAAATATTAAATTGGTATTAAAGTTAACTATATTAAAATTACATGAAAGTTGAAACAATTCAAACCTTAATAACAACAGCAAACACTAGTAAAAAGATTAAAAATAAGACTTAAGCATAAAAAACACATCTGAACTACTTTTTAACTATCGAGCACACGAAAACATATTTAAGAATGTCTACCCAAGTTTGCTTAGGACACGATAAACTCGAATCAAATTGAATGAATATTAGATCATTCATATAGTGGAATCCAACTTAATTTGTGAATTTAACGTAGATGAACAATTAATTTATTCACAACATTAGCTCAAAAGACATGTAATGTGCCTTCAAAATGCCTTTCTGACTTCAAATGTTTATCATGTCTCAAATGCGATTCAGAAAGTTTTCATCATTGCTTGGTTCAAACATACACTGGGTAAAGAAAGTTTGGACAAACGTCACGAAATTCTTAGTCGTTGCCAAAGAGGCCACCTAATATCAGGATAGAGCAACATTTACAGATATCTGAGAATCATGAAACGCGTAATCAGAGATCATATTGAAGCAACCAAGTTTTCAGGTTCAGTCGTCTGCTGAGAAAGGGTGCCTCTAGTCCACCTCTTTAGCATCTCTAAGGCAGCTTGAGGCTGATCCATTGGAACCATGTGTCCAGCATCATGAACCTATTATGCATTTGACCAAAAGACATTTAGCTCAAACATTTATCATTATAAAATGAACAATAGGGTCGTTAATAGATGGATGCAGGGTCGATAAAGAAAGGCACCTTGAGGAAACTTAGAGGCCCGTGGCTTCTCAACAATCCTGCTTCAGAACCGTTAACTTCAAAGGGGACTTCGGTAGATGCTACAAACTCTTTCTGACCTTTCCATTCCATGGCCTGAACCCATCTTGAGTTACCTGGTAAAGAAACGATTTTATGACATCCGAACATTTATTTATTTTTGAAACTGTAACTTTCTGAACAAATTTCCATTATCGAGCTAATGGATAAGCTGATGCCTTACCAAGCCAGTTGCAAATGAGATCATATTCTCCAGCATACACAAGCAGCTTTATTCCATCCTCGAGCAAGGTTGGAATTCCTACTTCGGAGTTCCTCATCCAGTCAATAAGCATTGCCTGGTACACAGTAGTACTACACGAGACAAACTCTATATCCTCAACGCCAAGAGCCTTTTTAACAGAGCGCAGATTCAGCATTTTCTCCATGTCTGAGAAGTCGTAGCAGAGTCGTCCCACACACTTCTTTCTGATGTCATAGTGCTGCAGACCAAAAACTTAATTTATCAGAAACATAGTTAACCAGTCATTTGTTCACAACTTTGGAAGGCATGTCTGCGGGATAATGTAACCCTCTGAATAATTAAAAACATCACCTTGAAGTGAAAGGTTAACTATGCCGGTATCCCAAACAAGTTGGGGTCGGCTGTATGAATAATTGAATATTGACCATGTTTCTCCACTTAAATTCATCTTTGGCCAACATTACAATAGAAGTTCTTTATATTATTTATTGGAATAAAAATCTCTCACAACAATTTATAAAAGATAAATTTCTAGGATCATTTCTACTCTTTGTGAGGCTGCTGACACACCTATTTCTCTACAAAGTACAGAATATGTGTAACAAGCACGACAATTAGTAGAAAATGAATGGCAGAAATGGATAAGAACTTACATTGATGTCAACCCCGGCACTTGCGCGGACAGCAGTGAATATAGAATTGCAAACAAAATAAGCCGCCAAGCAAGAGACTTTCCCATCAGTGCCTAAAAGACGGAAAACAGACATAGAAACTGAGAAGCAAAACAGAGTACAGAGAATTGATTTGCTGTGAGTGCAAGAACATCCATTTATGTCGGGACAATACCCCAGCCCCCTTTATACCCTTTTTCATCCCAGGGAAATCCAAAATGAGTCAAATGATATGGAGGAAAGAAAGAAAGTAAACAGGATGTACCACAAAGGTTTACTACGACTTCACAAACTGGAATTAGTTTGTTGATACGATCATGAGTAGACTTCGAAATTAATCCCATGTCCAATGCATAGTCAGTGTATGCAGGGTATTGTATTTTGGGATCTGTAAGCCCATTCCCAATGGCAAATCCCTAGTCAAATACATCCAATGAAGTCAAGAGACGTGATTAAGGAAATAAAAATACAACAGCTGGTGAAACGTGGTACCTTTAAGTTTATATGTGTTCCTTCTTTACCCTTATTTCCTTTGTGTACTCTTGCAGCAAAAGCAGGAATGTAGTGCCCAGCATATGATTCTCCAGTTATGTAGAAATCGTTCTTTACAAGCTCTGGATGCTCCTCAAAGAATGCCTATATCATTATTAATGATCATATCAACACAAAAAAGTCAGGATTGTAATTATCTTTGTTGCACATCAAATTAGAAAAATGTACTGTCTGACTGTCTCCACCAAGAAGGAAGAAACTAATAATCAAACCACAACAATCATTCAAAACTTGAAGAAGCAGACAAGTAGAGGAAAAAACACTAAAATCTGTAAACCTATGTTGTCAACTGATTAAATGACGAAAATATTCGACATGGAATTCATCTGAATACAGTGAGTAAGGGCCGAATAGGTAATTGTGTAGTGTCTTAAAGGTGGTTAGGCCAAGTTCTGGTAAAACTTCCGGGTTAAAAGCTGTAATACATGCTAACTAAAAGCATGCAAGAGGGAAATAACTAACCAACAAGTCTTCTAAAAGAAAATTAAGCAATCAGCTGCAAGTTCCAGTAAAAAACATGGAACCCATTCCATGAAGAAGGTTCCTGAATACTGCAAAAAGGTTGAGGGACAGGATGTGCTGGCAGGTGACCACATTCTTGCCATTAAACATTTGGAAGATAAAAGAACTCCAAATTATGATACTGCCTCTTTTTTGCCTGGGACCAGAACACATGCATCAAACACCTATAAGGCTCACTCATCAGCACAGTGTAAGGCTCGAGTCCTAGGGTATAACATCTCTCCTATAATCTATATATGTATGAGGTCATTAGTTCTTTAAGGCTTGGGTACTAGTGTTCAGAAACTGAGCCTTTTGAGCTCTTTGAGAAACCCGTGTACACCAGTGTAACCCCTTTTTGCATCTCACACGTAGACTGGTGATCAACACACAGACAAGAGAACTAACAAGTACAGCACACTCGAAGAGTCCAAGCAGCTATCTAAAAGGGATCTCAGACACATCAATAAAACCCTTACTATCACCAGTAATTAAATTTTTCACCCGGAACCAATTCTAGACAGGTCAGCAGCGAGATAGAGGTATCTTACATCACCATAGCAACCCATCATTAGACCATACTAGGTGATGGTAAATATATCATCGTTAAAGAATTCTCCTACTAATTTCAGTCTTTTCTCCAACTCTTCCCATAGTTGCCCATAATAAGCATCATGACTCATGTCTATTTGTCAATATCACAACTTCAGTGAGATAGAAAACGTTTCATAAACGGATTCTTGAAAGAAGATCACAGGTGTTTGGTAATTGTTTATCATTCTGTCTGCACACTATCTAAGACAACAATTTTATTAACAAAAAAAGGTCACAAGTGACTTTGTATCCCGGTAGTTTGATTGTGATCAGGATACTGAAGTTGTGATTTTACCCCCAAGTACAGTTTCTCCATAATATAGAAAAGTTTATCACCCTTTTTTGAATAGGTGGAATGTTTATCATCCTTTAGAAGCAGCATATATTACCCCATGTAGCAAACCTTATAATAACATCTATGAAACCAGGAATTGATAGGTAAGAAAACATTTGGAAGCCATAGTGTCATCATAAGACTATGATCTGAACGGAGGAATTCCACAGGAGTGTGTGCATATATAAATAAAAGGTTCCAAGTTGTCTTGAGGGTTTATTTTCAAACCTGAATAAAGTCATACAAGTCGTCGCTAACACATGTTTCAGTGTGACAGAGGTCACGCCTGTCAGAACTGTAACTGAAGCCAGTACCTGTAGGTTGGTCTACATAGATAAGGTTTGATACCTGCAGAATTAACATGTAGACATAAATTAGTGTCCTTAAAGGACAAAAAGGAAATTCTAATAACGAAAATGAACCAACTACTTTAATCTAAGAAACATGCAGAAAATTTCATCCTGTAAGACTTGGCAATCAAATTCCAAGTTTCAATCAAAACTCAAACCACCAGCACCAAAACTGAAGTTCCTGTGGAACCTGAAATACATTCCTATCTGCAGTAACAAACTGCCATGCAGGCAATTTAATTTCAAAGAGTAGAAGGAAGAAAGCAGACAGAAGTATGTCATCAGGGAAATGTAATTTTTTTTTGAGAAGGAAAACGTTTGTCAACATTGATCTAGTTTCATGTACACGGTTCCCTCTTGGAGAAGGATATGCAGAAGCTTAGATTATTGAAGCTTTGGTAAGCGGAATCAAGAACTGATGTCTTTATATTGATGATTCATCTGTTTATGCAAAATATTGAACCAGAGAAGGACATGTTATTAACTGTTCTGTTTCACAACATATTCATAATTGCCATTTCATTTTTTATTCAGGGAAAAAAGAAAATGGAAATTATGAATATTTTTTCCCACAAAACAGTTTCTTAATTGCCTTTTCCAATTATTCTTTTTGTTTAAAAGAAAA